AAATAAAATTAAAACAACGGGTTCGTCATTCGTATTATGTATTTTAACAACAACAAAGCACAAAATTCACGGTCGCATTTAGTGAAAAAGCCAACCAATTATGCTCTATTTGTAGTTTAATCAAGTTTAATTTACGCATAGTGTTTGTTTCGCGATGTTTACAAGTAATTCCCAGACCTGTCTATTTAAAATAGTCACATGGTGTTCATGTAATATAAATGATATACAATGCTGCCAGGAGCAGTAAACTTTGTTTTCATAAACATTTAATACTTAACTGAACAGTTAGTCAATTAGTCTTTGGTGTAAATATAAGAACGGTGTATCTACCAACATTGCTTTGCGATGTAGCGGTTAACGTCCGGAATCAACTGTACGTCGGTTATACCCCGTGGTATAGAACCATTTAAACATGTAACAATAAACTGTTTTCAATATTTCTTTGTATTCTCACAATTGCGTATTGGCTTATTTGTAACACCTACTTATAAGAAATTCAAGCATATTTATGGTGACTGGACTGTTGCTCGAACTTTCTTTACTGTATAAGATTTATACACAATGGCATGATACATATCAATTATCCAGTCATACAAGCGTCAATTGTTTGTGCAAGATGAAAACGTAATTGCAAGTCTAGTAATACTAGCATCATGTGATCAATATTTTGTAATATAATTACAGTAAAATACTAATAGTATGTATACGGAGTCTTCCGAATAAGATTTTTTGCTGTCGGAATTCAGATTGATGTTGGAATACGTGGATGTTAGGTGTCACTTTTATACAAAGATTGTCTTGACTGTCCAAGATATATGTATTTAATGATGACGTGTCATAGGAAAGAATAATATCCTACATATAGATCAGGACAAATTATTTGAGAAAATAGAATTGACTATATTAGCAATAAATACCATGTTTAAGAAATTTATTGATCATATATTATCTCAGACTTTCACTCACTAAGTCAGCTCTTTGGTCGGGTTGTTGTCTCTTTGACATATTCCCCATTTCCATTCTCAATTTTATTTTATATATAATCAATCCTTCTGACTTCATAAATTTTATATAATGAAAATTAATTTATTTCCTTCTGTGAAAACGCATCGCATATACAATAGAAATGAATTGCTCTACAGTGAAAATGAAAGTCTCGTATCATTATTCGACAGTAAACATGAATCGCATAACGAAAACAGCATAATGGAATTTGATTCAATATCAACAAGCTGAATAACAAAACCTGTTTTAAGTTAAACAACATTAATAATTATGTTAAAAGGTACATTTTTCTGCAAATGAAACTTAACTGCTACTTTTAAATCTCTTGCACGCTCTGTTCGTGAACTATTCTTAATATTTATCTATTTGTGTATCAATTTTGCACCTGGATGGCTGTAGGCGCGATGAAAACCCGTCCGCATCTCATACCTATATCATGAATTTATAAAAACAGTACACATTATATATTAGTTCTTATTTTATTCAAAAATCTTGAAATTGTCGTCTGTTTATTTATTATTCTACATCAGAAATTCATCACGGATACAGTAAAAATGACTTTTAGGATTCGCACATTACATACACTGTGTACATTAATGCCACGTTTTTATATCAAACCAAATGTAAGTTGCATGATCGAATTCAACACTTTACATGACATAGACGTAAATGTTTGATGAATGTAAAAAAAAAAGACTTTGGACTTATAATTAAATTTTGAAGAAAAAAACATGATTTATTAATATCCTGATACAGTCTGACATGGTCTTTTAGTATTTAGTCTAAATTGCAAATAATAAGAAATATGATGCAAAACATGTACGCATGCAAAATCAATTATTTTTTAACGATTCTCGACTAATGGGATTCCAGCAGATGCAATTGGCTGTATGAACACTGAAATAAACACTGAATTGTTCTATTTTGTGCCATTTAGTCATTAGAATGGGGTATTTATGTAATTCTGTGTTCTATTATCGCTGAAGAAGGAAATATAAATCACCCTTACCGCTACTGTAATTTCTTCTTTCAATAGAGTTCTGTGATTTTGTCAATATGTGTTGACAAAAGACAATATTGATATATTTGGTGAAATAATTGAACAATCTGAAACTGAATACTTCAATATAAACATTGAATTTTGTTACATTCTGTCTGCAAATATTTGAATAAAAGCGATAAAAATAGAATATTTAGGATGGCTTTCTATCGCTGCTTTTGATGTACTGTTCGGGAGCACTTATTTTTTGTGAATATAAATCAATTACTGGGAAAAAGTTGTTTTGAATGAATATAACACGATACTAATATCCATTATATACAAATATAAAATGTCAATCACAATGCAGAATTTGAATTACAAAATACACTTTAAGAATACCGATATGTCAAATATTTGAATGGCATCCATTGGATTTTTCATTTTTCAACTACATGACTGGAACACTGTGTTATTATAAGTTATCTACGTTCATATCCGTAGATATGGATATTTTAACACCCTGAAGTATCCAAGTACACCCTGAGGCGCAGCCGAAGGATGTATAGGGTACTGAAGGGTGTTAAAATATCCATATCTACGGATATGAATGTACATAACGAATTTATCCCCGGTCTTAGTCTAAATCTGGCGATTTTTAGAGAAATTCGACCACAAAGTTTAACGTGAAAGCAACGTTTTTTTCATTTTTAAATATCTTTTATTGAAATTTGGGAATTTGACATATTTTTAACGGGGTGTACTTTGGTAGAACCCTACATGTAGATAAATATAAGGCTTTTTTAAACTAGAGACAGAGAAACTGAAATGGGTCGAATTTGGCGCGCAATGTTGTGAGAGTTACATCATAAACGGTGTGACGTCAACGTGGGTCATTTGCATAGCTAGGTCAGTAGTACCATTCATTGTCAATGTGGCTGCATAGTGATGCATTTACTAAAATGAGTGCAAATAATCGATATAATAAGATAAAATCGTTAGTGGATTAAGTATTTAATTATACAGACATCATGGAAAATCTACAGAATTCGATATTTCATAAGGAACAACCATGGAACTAAGGAAAACGCGCGTGAAATTCCCCGATGTAATGGGTAGAAACGTCCGGGGATATGGGTTAGCAACACCCAGGGGCTATGGGTTTTGTAATGACGTGCGTTAACCAATCAGAATTCTAGAAATATACTAAGCCGGGGATAATGTATTGTATGTCGCTACTGCATTCGTGTACTGATTTTTTGTTGACGTACATAATGGTGTGTTAAAATTAGCAGCTATATAATTTTCCTAATGTCAACTTGGCAATTGACGGCAGCTGTCATCCAATCAAAAGTGACATTTTTTCGACCGGTAGCCCCGGTTAGCCATTATTTTATTACCTATTGTTCGTTTGGTGAATAGTTAAGACAAGCAATCGCAAACCAAATGTAATGCACCTTGCAGTTTTGTTAAAAATTCCAATCTTTATATTTTTTCAAGCCATTATTTTCTATTCTATAATTTGTTTCCGTTATTCTGCACTTTTGGCCCTTTATTCTCTATTCTGTATACCCCATCCATGCCTTCATGTACAAGGTGATCTTGAACCTTATGTTATTTGCCGGCAGGTCTGTCATCATATTTATCTGCTTTATTCATTCACAACGTTTTTAGACTTGGGTTATTTGGTAAAGATGGTTTTTACATTTGCTTTACGTTCAGAACGACTTTTCTTCAAATAAAGACCACAAGGTATCTTTGTTATTTATGTGCCGTTCGGTTGCTGTCTGAATGAAGTATACGCTACATTTCACTTTGTTCTCTTTTGTAATCATAATTATTAATTTTTATATGGTGCTGATAGAAGACACTGCATTATACATGTATGCATCGCCCGTATCCGTTCAATCTTTTTTTTCCATTTAAAATTGCAACAAAAATGCTGCAATTAACACACAAACAACAAAACAATGCAAGGCATCCAGATGCAGTATACAGACATGTGTCTTATCACCCACTCTACACTCCCCAAATATCAACAAGCTTTGTACTAATTCAAGATATAAACATAAACAAAAAAGATTGACAGTCGTCTTACCATGTGGTGAAAAGTCTAGTACATATAAACTAGCGGCTCTAAAGAGCTTGAGTGTGTCGCTCACCTGCATCTTCAACAATGGTCACTTTTTAGTAAAAAAACGCATCATTAAAGGGGAACAACTCTTTTAAGAGTTAACTGACAGTTTCAGTCATGTTGACATATTTGTTGATCTTATCCTGCTGATAATTTTTTCCTTTCTAAAGTTTCTATTTATTGATTTTTTTTATATAAAAATGTAAGCATTATCATTAAAGGGCAATAACTTCAATAAGGAGTTGACTTACAAATCTGGCAATGTTGTCTCATTTGTCGATCTTTTCTTGTTGATTATTTTTTCTATCTATAATAGTTTTAAGATATTAGGCAAAAACGCAAAAAGTTGGTTAAAATCGTCATTAAAGGGCAATAACTCTAATAAGGAGTCATCTAATGATTTTTTTTCATGTTGACTTATTAGAAGATCCTGTTTTGCTGATCATTTTTGATATATAAAGTTTCTGTCTATGTCTAATTTTTGGGATAATAGGGGAAAACATTTAAAATGGTAATGGTCGGCTGACAGGTTTGACGTTAATGAACAATAGCTAGAGCTCAACATTATGAACATTTTTGTTCTTGTCAAAATCTCTCCATTTATAGCGGTTTTAAAAATAATAGGAAAAACTTGCATTTTATCCATATGTTCTATTTTCAGCCATGTTGGCCATCTTGGTTGGCCAACTAGATACCTTAATAATGATTGTTGCCAAGTTTGGGTAAATTTGGCCCAGTGGTTTCAGAGGAGAAGATTTTTGTAAATGTTAATGGACGACAACGACGACGGACGACGACGACGACGGATGCCAAGTGATAAGACCTGGAAAAAGGGGGGGGGGGGGGGGTAAACACGGCATAAGGCTGAAAAACAGAGGGCGATTAAGCATTCTACAAGACATATTTTATTCATAACGAGTTCATTTAAAACATATATTCATGTTTATACATGTAATGATTAAGCATAATGACGACAAATCTTCACATTACACTTTCAGTTCCTTTACCGCCCTTTGCAAGCTTTCTACTTCGTTTTGAAGAGATAAATGCAAATACTGCATTGATACCTCGTTGCCGAGTTCTTGTATTGTTTGTGTATAAGGATCATAGCGTACTTCACACTGTCTTTTAATAGTGGCTGCATAGCGCCTGAAAGAAAAAATAAACGTAGGATCATTTCGAAAAATCTCCCGATAACGTAATTGTGAAATGCTCATTGACATTATAGATACAAAAAATCATAGAGATCATCATCTCCTTTATCTATTTTAAAGATGAAAACATTTTCACCATAAATAATATGAATTTGTTTAATTGAGTTTAACGGACTTTCATGCACATTTAGGGAGGTGCATTCTATTTTTTGGGAAAACGACTGATTTTACATTCTGCGATATAACTGGCTAACTCTGCTCATACGTTGATCAAAAGTGTTTTGTAAATATGAAATATAATTTTGATCTGGTGTTAGAAGATCTTACTATTAAGTATTATACACTTACAAGAGAGAGAAAAGATACCTAGGGGACAATTGAAACCATAAGTCCTATAAAAACAGACAACGCCATAGCCAAACAGCAAAACAACGATAACAAAACATTACACATGAATAAAAATTGAACAACACGATGTGGTGCTCCGGAAGAGTAAACTATTCAAACTTACTTCATTTTCTGCATCATATCATCAAAAGATTCAACAACAAAATAAATTGGCTGGATATCTTCGTCTGTGTACACTTGTACTGAAGTTTTCTCTGGATCAAATGGATATTTTTTCGGGGCATCAGACAAGGCATGGCGTAACTCCCCGTACGATGACAACGTCCCAGCACCGTATGCTCTTAGATTCCCATGTTCCTTACATAGGCCAAACTCTACCGTAAACCAGTACAGCTATAATTAATCAAAAAATGTTTGATTTTTAACTTGAACTTGTAAATCATATTTTAAAAACAAAAGAAAAAATGATAAATTGTACATAATATGAAAACATAAAAATGAAAATAAAGATCTGATTAGAAATAAATCTTAAAATAAATTTTAATTTTAGATTAAATACTGTGCAACCAGGCATGCACCGGAAAGCAGATGGTTTATTTGTCATATACAAAGATATCAAATCAAAACTATTCTTGTTGATGTTGAATTTGTTCTTATCTCTTGTTCTTGTTTTTTTTTAATTCAAACAGTGTTCTTGTTCTGCTACTTTCATTCTTTTATTTGTTTCTGAAGAATAGTTTGACAATATATACGGTCTATTAAAATTATAACATTAAAACTGACATTAACAACGGATTATTGAAATTATAACATAACTAGACGACAACACACAAAAAGGGGCACAAACCGACCAAACAACTGGTTTAAATTATTGTGTCGATTCATGTGCATCCACTGACCATACAGTTCTTGTTTGAAACGTGCCACGCGTTGTAAAAAAGGCATATATGTACGCCATTTGGTGGATAGTTGTCTAATTGACAATCATACAACATCTCCATATTTTAAATCGTAAAACCATATTCAATATTGGAACGGAAATAAAACACACCTTCAGGCTCAAATATCAATAGACTGTTTTGTGTTATGGTACTAATTGTTTTCTTAATATGAAAGCCGACACTATAATATTTTCAATTCGTATGGATGTTGAGTAAAACAAATACTAATGGACTATCAAAGTTAAAGCAAATATTATGATATATTCGAAAATAAAATATTCATACAAAGCTTCCATCAATATCAATTCTTTCTATGTTTTGATTTATATGCACTTTATCTAAAAGTGCAACTTTTTATAATAGAGATCGTTTCTGAATTGTTTCATTTAGTTTCACGTTGGTAATATAATGTTGATTTTAATTTTCGTTTATCCAAAACTTGCAATATTCGTCCTATTGTTCTTAACTTGTTCTATATATTAAAGTACTATCTAGCATCATTAAAATATTAAAAACACTTAAAACTTTACAACCATGAACAGATCAAAGGTGTCTAAATTTTGCGTCGTATTTAATGTTCAGGATTTTAATGGCGTTTATTTAAATATTTTCATCAAACAACGATGATTACGTAAAATTAAAACAGTTTAGTGTTTAAGTTACATGTACAAGCACTAAAAAACAACCATTGAACATCCTCATCCGATTAGAAATAAAAAAATGTACTTTTAGCAAACTCGTGTCCACGGTGAGAATAAACGATAAGCAATTTCCATATTAACGTACCATTGTGTTTTTAAAAAAGTCTTCCTTGTCAAGGAAATAATATGCAATTTCACATCACTTGATATTTTATGTTTCACTTAAAATACATACTGTAGCAAATTTTTCAATATCGGCATCTGAGGCTCCAAGAGATGTTAGTCCTATTTCTTGTGAGAACTGTGCAAATTTTGGATTTGCCAACATTGGCACATGTCCAAGCAACTCGTGAATACAGTCTCTGTGAAAAATAAAATGAATACATATTGTATTTAATGTATATTATATTTATTAAACACGTGATTATTGGCATATTACACATCATTTTGTTTCACTTTTTCTTCTTATAAAGAGTCAATGTAAAAGATGAAATTATGTACCATCTAATAAATTGATATTACATTGTATACGTAAGAAACAGAAATTTTTAAGAACTAACTAGGGGGTCCTTATTTCACTAGAAAGGAGCATACAATTTCTCGCAAATTTGTATTTCTGGTTACCAAAAAGTATGAGTATACAAATATACTAAACTCATCATAGATACCAGGATTGAAATTTTGTACGCCAGACGCGCATTTCGTCTACAAACGACTCATTAGTGACGCTCAAATAAAAAAAGTTAAAAAGACCAAAGTACGAATTTGAATAGCATTGATGACCCAAAATTCCTTAAAAATTCGCCAAATACAGTTAAGGTAATCTATTCCTGGGGTAGAAAGCGTAAGTATTTCAAAAAAATCAAAAATGATATGAGGGCATCTATTAAGAAAATAAATATAACATTCCAATATTCAACCTTAGGATGCTCATCAGATACAGGGGCGGATCCAGGATTTTAGGTTAGGGGGGGGGGGGGGGGGGGTTTGGGGCGCAAAGTTTTTGAGGTAAAATTATCGAAATATTCTTTATTAGGCTGAGGACAAGACATGCTTTGCAAATTTTAGAGGGTGGGGCGCACACCCGCCACGCCCCCGCCTGAATCCGCCCCTGAGATAGCACTCACAGTTCACGGTTTCCGCAATAGAAAAAAGTAAATCAGAACGCAACTCACGGTTCAGGAGAGTGGTCTGGTTTTGACCCATGACGAACATACTGCGTACACTGGAAAACTCTATATGCAAGACTAGCTAAAAAGTCACGTGCTGATAATAAACCGGAAACTGGACGTAACTGGAACCCTGTTCTTCCTATAAAGAAAAGGATTTATGTAAACAATATAAGTGTTGGTTGCTTAACGTCCAGACGGTCCAGTGGCAAATATTTCAGCTTATGCAGTTCTTACTTATCTGCCTTTCATCTATCATTGTTTGTATACACGTTAGGGGACGACCATTTGATATTGAGGATTTTTTTCTGGATTGATCATTTATTTGCATCTGTTGCTACGCATGCTGATTTTTTCCGCTTAAAAACTTATTTTCACTTTTGTGCACATTTGCTTTTTGCACTTTGTGTTGCAAAATATTCATTTTAATCCTGTTTTGTGCAAACTTGTTTATGTTCAGTTCTTACAAAGTCAAGTTATCTATTTTCAAAATACCCCCCCCCCCCCCCTTAAAAAAATAAATGGTCGTCCCCTTAAAAAAATTGATAATATGATTGTATTATGTTATTTTTTATCGTTTTGTTGTTGTCGACTTATGAACCTCATAAACTTTTATTAATATGCTAATAAATTTGTAAAGCATTGTCTTTATTAAATTCTTTACATACTGGATCTTCCTATCTATTTTTTGTTCTATTATTTCATAAGTATTATCTCTATTTTTCCAATGTTTTGTTAGCTTAAATGAGTGAAGACAATTTATATAACAACTAAAAAATAGTCTGATCAAAATAAATCAATGTGGATTCATTTATTTTCGTACACAAAAAATTTGATAAGATTTCTAATTGTTGAATTTTTTTTATATACTCGGTACCATTTGATAGGACCTTATTATACATGTGACAAGACTTTAAAATGTGTAAAGGAAACCGTTGAGAAAAGCAAGAACAGTAACATATGACATCGACTATGGTGTCATCTCAAACGTCAGAAATAAACTAATCATAGATAGCAGGATTCAAATTGTTGTCGCCAGTTGTCGCCAGACGCGTGTTTCATCTACAAAAGACTCGTCAGTGACGCTCGGATAAAAAAGTTAAAAAGACCAAATAAGGTAAAAAGTTGAAGACCGATAAAATTCCGAATGGTTTTCCATAATATAGGTTAAGATGATATATTCCTGGGGTAACAAATCCCTAGTATTTCGAAAAATTCACAGTTTTGTTAACAGTTAATTTATAATTATGGTAATTATAAAGTAATACTTACGCTTTAAGAAATTAGATACATCTTCTAACTGTGGAATTTTATTTGCGCTATATCCACAATCCTGTTCTAGTATTTTGAAGTTCTCAATGTGTTCTTTACAAGCATGAGTTGGAAACAGATCTTGAAGATGTTTGTACACGTGTCCCCTGTAAAACATGTTTATTGAATATTGTTTTAAAAGTATCAATGCGGAATTAATTAATTAATCGATTGATGTTTAGCGCTACTTTTAGCATTATTGGATATTTCGTGGCGGTCAGTTTTTATTCGTGGAGGAAGTTGGAGTGCCCGGAGAGAACCACCGACTTTCGGTAGGAAAATTGAATTATTAAGATTAGAGTCGTGCCACGTGCCAGATTCGAACTCACAACCTCATTGTTGACAAGTTAGTGATACAGCAGTTGCAATACTTAGACCACTCGGCCACTTAGGACCCTCAATCAATAAATAATAGAAATAATTGTAGTTGTTATAGATATCATATATTTTTTTAAATCATGCAAACTGAACATTTTTTTCATCGGCTAAAAAGCCACCCCCCCCCCCCCCCCCCCCCCCCCTCACAAAAAAAAACAAAGGACATACTTAACAGTACTGTAAATTGATAATTAATGAATTTATTGTATTAATTCATCTAAATACAATGACTATATCTCCATCCAAATCAACTAAATGGAAAAAGGAAATTTTAGACTTTTCCGACCATTTAACACTGTTTCTTATTAGTAATATATTGATTGCCTGTTGTTATCTTTATGGCCAGTGGCAAATATTTCATGCATATTCAATATCATGCAATTTCACTGGTTTTGACACAAAAAAATCTTTTTTTTAATAATATATTGATTGATTGGTTGTTGTTTGCTTAACGCCACCAAAGTCCAATATTTCATGCATATTCAGCATGATTTCAGGGTCTTTGTTGACTGTTTACACTTAAAACCTTTTTGTCGGTGCACCTGGAAATACTCCTTATATTTCATATGGATGTTTACTTGATAATCTGCAAATAACTGCACTTCTTATTTTACTTCTCCAAGACTTATTGTCCAGAAGTTCCTCGTAGAAAAGAGTATCAAATCAATTCTAATAATTTGAAAATCAAAATGTGGAAACTTAATTCTTAAGACAAACCAGACAAAACAAACTGAACTTTGACTGTGTTTTTGCTTCAGGATATGGGACATATGCGTCTTATCATTTAGTTGTGAATCAGATGAGTATTAATTTTAACTTCAAGTTACGCTGAGCACTTGAATTTGTTAACTTGCAATAATTGCTGCGTTGATAGGTTGTCCATCTGGCTGCGCGAAATAATTAGAATATGTAGCCACGTCCGATCGATCGGAATATGTTTCTAAAAGCCGATGTTTGGTGAGTGTCACGCTCTCTGCAAGTAATCAAACCCTACAATAACTTCATGAGGGGCATGCAGGTGAATATCTGCACCACTCTTTTCTACCCTATCCAGCTATCTCAGTGACAGTCGAAAGGATTTGCTCATCATCCCTGTTGGCCTGCATTGCAGAAACAACATACTAGTAATTGACAGTCTGGATGGGGTTTACAGAATAGAAAATAATGGGCAAAAAGTGCAGAATAAAGGGAAAAAGTAAGAATAGAGAAAATGGTCTAACACCCCTATCCAGACCCGCATAATTCATTTATTGTTCGCTATGTTCCCATCCCGAATATGCATGAAATATTTCCACATGACGTTAAGCCAGTAACTACATGTATCAATCAATCGTTCATAATGGCTACTTGATTGCATGATACTTGTTTAAAAGTCTGATAACATGGTACGATCAATCAAAATTTGTTTTAACATGCAATGCGTAAAACATTCAAGCATTTATTACAAATCAGTTTCAAATATCAGAACAAGCACCATACATTTCATCATATTTTTATGCATTGATCACAATCGTTAATTACACAGAGATATTAAACACGATCAACAATCCTATGACAACTGATGCAAATGTGTTTTTCAACTATCGGTAGTCAATAAAACGTTTAACTCAGTGCCAGTTTACATGAAGGACGAATAATACAATGTGATATAGACCCGATATCTTTTTCATAAATTGATTACTACAATATAATTTGATATTTTCACATCAAATACTTTGTAATAACAACATTTTGTGTCTTAGAATGATAAATCGGATGATATTTTCAGAATGACAGAATCTTTAACACATCTGGTTCAAATGATCGAACTATTAATGGTATTAATATTTCAATTGATAAAATCGCTGTTGGATTTTAGTACTTTTTTCTGTAATCACTGGGCGTTATTCCATAAGAGAGAGGCGAAAGATCCCATAGGGGAATTCATAAGTGGAAATCAAACTGACAATGCCATGTAAAAAAAAACGAAAAACGACAAACAACAGTACATAGAACTCAACAGAGAAAACTAAAGACTGAGAAACACCAACTCCACCCAAAAACCGGAGATCATCTCATAAAGATCTCTTTTCAGATTGTGTAAACAATTTCGGATGGTACTCTTATGCTTCAAACTAAAACAGTACAGATATGTACTTTTATTTCTGAAAGCTCGAGATCTCGACATCCATGCAGCCAAATAAAGGTTACTGGATATATGAAAACCAGATGTTCATCATGGTCCTCGTGTATTGTTTGTTTGCTTTTTTTTAATCATAATTCCATGAAATTTATTCCATACGTCCATTGATTCGATATTAAAACACAAAAAGACAAATTCGCAATTTTATATTAAACACTATTGAGAAATATACAATTAAAATGATTTAGTATTCAAAGTAGTTTTCAGCTGAAGCGCGAACATATTCAAAGACCAAAGTACCATCCAGTAAACAAACTGTATTATAAAAAAAACCTCTGCTTTCCAATCAGCCACCAAGTTAGATAAAATACAAGGATAGACAAATTCTTACCATGTGTCATTTTCTTCTTGTGTATATTCAACTCTCGGGATAACTTGTCCACTGAAAAGGGAAAGAAATAAAAGTGCCTTGTTATTAAAGTAAAATCATTCTGAATATGTGATTTGCTTAAAGACTTAAATTTTACTATGATAATGGTAACAAGCGTTTTCCGTAGTATTATTTTTGGAGATTACTTTCTTAATAGGCCGTATCACAGGACTACTTTCATAACGAACATAAGTTCTCGTTACACACTCAAAACATGTTAACATCATTTTCAATCAACGGTTGTTGGCAAAAAACTAAATACATGTGGTTTAAGATCATAATTGAAATAATTAAACTGGACCAATGAGAATTATAATAATTATATTTCATTCTATGTCGCAGTTATCATAAGAATTAAACTGGCCGAGTTAAAACATACATGCAATTTGCATGTGCCTGTCCCAAGTCAGGAGCCTTTAAGTTTAGTAGTTGTTGTTGGTTGCTGTCCGCCATGGGTCTTTTCATTTATTTTTTTTAGCATTAATTATTGGTAGTTTGTTTTTCTCTTTAGAGTTTTTTTTCAAATTCAGAAATGCAGGTTTTTTATAGCTTCCATAAGGTATGGGTTTTGATCATTGTTGAAGGTCGTACGGTGACTTATAGATATTAAAATCCTTGTCCTTTGGACTTGGGTGGATTGTTGTCTCCTTTGGCAAATATACTACATCTCCTTATTTTTCTATTAGTCTGGAAAATGTGTTAATCCTATCACAACGCAGAAATCTGTATTAGTTCCAAAGTTACATGTTATACATGATGCATTGAACACGCCTTGCTCTATTTTATATTCACATACACAATAAATATACAATATAAAGTCAATGTCAGAAAAATATAGACTTTTTTGTATGAGGCTGAGAAACTAAGGAAGTGCGAGGTTGTACCGAGCCCCTCCCCATTTTAGTGCCGAATACAAAAAAGTTTATATTTTTCTGATATTGACCTAATATTGTTTTTATATTGCAACTTAAATTAATAAATTAATAGCTATTTAAATTGTAGTGTAAATCTAAAATTTATTTTCATTCCTAAATGGACCCCTGATTGTGGGAAAAGTGATCCACGATGAAATTGACATTGGACAAAATATAGCTTTGTTACTATATTTAGGAAATAAACACAACTAGTTGCAGTATAAAACTGCATATTACAACATGCAGTAATTATTATAGACAGCATGAAGTTGTCTATTTAGTGTTTTAATGTATAAATTCATTGGCGCATTTGTTATCCAACAATTGAGTAATATTATTACGTTTTAGGTCTATTTGGTCATACGAGTAAACTTATTTATAACGTTTGATTCTATGCTTCTATTTGCAGTAGCAATGTTTTGTGTCTCAAACCCGTGTCTATTACACCACTTACTGTCTGTAGTCAAATGCTATGTCTGCTATCATTTTACGTCGTTCTCTGTACTTTTTATCTGTATATCCCTGAACAAACATATAAAACAAGAAGATATACAGAAAACTTAACAATACTCAAACATGTTGCTGATGATATTGATATTTTCAGGATATTTTTGAAAATACTTAAACTTGCTTGATTCAGATGAAATGAGAGGACTAATCTGTTATTTTTGTGTCGCAGATACTTTTAATACATTTTATTATTTCAGCTCAAATGTTCTGTTAAGTGTTCTTACTTATACCAATTTAATGTTAGATTGAAAGCGGCTTTCAATAGTCTATTTTCGTATTACTGACTTTTGACTCCGGAGAAACAAAAATTTCGACAGGTTACCCAACTTGATGTAGGACATTCTGGTACTCGGTCAACTAAGAACAAATAAGATAAGCAAGAGGAATTACGTGTAACCTTGTATCACAGACGGGTTTGCATTACCAGGTATGACATTGGATTTTAGTTTTGTTTGAAGTGAAGAACACAAAATGAACTGTTAATAGGGAAAATGAGAAAAAGCACAAATTTAGTGCATATAATAAGTCTGAATAAAAATTACACGCACACAAACATATATGTTACACTAAGCATGGACAAAATAACACCAACAAAGACAAATGTCCGGAAATGCTGAGTCACCCGGATGTGTTCTTTTATTAAAGGTGTGAATACATTTATGTTAACTACCATGCTGTTGCAATGTCCAAAATTTGTTAAACTGATTCCTTGTGTTCGAATCTTAAAGACTGTAAGAATGAATGAAAATAAAAGTGGAATCAAGATTTAGTATCAAACTTGAATATTTATATAAGTTACATGTAGTCTTTGTAAATCGTGTTTTTTTTTCTATTGTGATGATTTGGATTAGTTCACACCCCAAGAATCACTGTACTTTTACTTACCGGGTGATCACTGTCGAGTTCCGGTTCAAACTTTGTGACAAGATGTGTGCAGTTATCTAATTCTGATATGTGTCTTGGAAACCAAATTACTAAAACAAAAATAAAACATGATGCGTTTAATTTGAGGGGAAAATTTGTATTTTCGTGTGATTTCGTGAGTTTGACAAATTCTGCAAACAAGCCGATAAGGAATTTGTGTATTTTCTTAAACACTCAAATCTGTGCTTCAAATATGTCCAGAAAAGCAGCGATTATTATTTCCACAGTTAATAAATATCGTATTAGTATTTCTGTTTGATTTAATTCTAATAAGGGATTAGTAATTTCTAATTTATAAAAACTTGAGTCGGACTGATAATTTAACTTTTAGGTCAATAAAATTAGTTGTAATTGACAAATCAAATGCTATATTAAAAAAAAAAATTGAGGCATTGTCAGATTATTAACTATATAGGTGTTTTCTGAAATTTAACTAAAAATCCTAAAAAAAAAAACCGCAAAAACAAAAACACACTTTTCTGCATTTCTTTTAATGCCAGAGTGAAAACGTATGTAGCTCATCAAAAACAGATTTTTGTGTTTCTTTATTTGACAGGAAACTTCAATTTACCTCACAGACACCGCAACGAATTCTGACTAATTTTTATAATCCATTTAAATCATCTTTGACTGAAACCGATAAATTGAAAAATCTATGATAAAGTGAAGATTTAATCATACTCATGGTAACACGCACCTTTAGTTTCAACTTCTTGATCCGATACAATTGCAACGTCAGCTATAGATGTGACCATGCGTAACGAATTAACATGTGATGTGATTCTATCGCGTGACCCAACACATTTTATCAGAATTTCAAATTGTGCTCCGGATTTCTTGGACTTCCGTGATTCGATGTGATCTATAATCACCTTTGATGCCTGAAAAATTAAATTGATAGATTAAAGGTCAATCTTTCTAGTCTTTTAAAATGATGAACATTGTCTTCTTAAATGGCAAATTTTGGATAATAAACGGTAATCTATTATTTTACGTCAGAGTAGACAATTTGAAATATTAAATTAAGCAGGTTATTAAATTAATAGGTTTAATCGCATGGAAAGGAAAATTGAGCACGTAGAAACATATTTGCTGGTCAAGGCCATACATATAGGCCAAGGTAGCATTGGTTCCTAAGGTTTATTTATATTGACTGACCATAAAAAAAAAATAACTATGCATGTCTTGTTGTGTAACAGTAATGGAAGCGATTTAAATCATAACATATGGTACAATGTATACTGTAAAGGACAAGCGAAAGATACCAAAGGGACACTCAAACTCATAGGTCGAAAACAAACTGTCAACACCATGGCAAAAAAACGAAAAACGACCAAAAGACAAACTACAGTACTTGAAACATAACATAAAAAACTTAAGACTGAGCAACAAGAACCCCACCAAAAACCAGGGGTGATCTCATGTGCTCCGGAAGGGTAAGCAGATTCTACTCCACATGCGGCACCCGTCGTGTTGCTCATGTAAGTACAAATCCGGTGATAAGTCTAATTTGATAGATTACATTCGAGGAAAAGAGGACAGGACAGTGGTGTTACGACAATTGGAACATACTTTGGGATCATTGTATTTACCCTCTTAATGTATTTCAAAGTTGATTTTTTTTTTGTTTAAGCGTTGCCGTATCAGTAACTTTTACACTGTACCCGCATTCTATTTTTTTTTTGGCACAGTTAAACAATAAATTTATTCTATGACATACATAATAAAATAACATAGAAACTAACACAATGATCTTCGGCAGCCAAACTGAAAGCAATAGAATAACTGAGTTGAAAACTCGCACTACTATTGTGCTTCAGGTGAATCGTTCATTTTTCCTCTTTTGCAGGATTTTCAGATAATTCAATAACTAAAATCAAGAAGTCATCTATGAGAAGGATCATACCTAATATAATGACATCTTCCTCGATACAAAATTTTAGATCAGGAGCTCATAAACAATCATATCATATTATCAATATATTCAGAATAATTCATCTAGCGCTAAATCAGTAATTGTTAATGTTATATAGTTATTTCTTAGCACAGAATCAGACTATGTCCTAAAATTGTTTTAAATGATATTCATGGACAATAAAACCATTCAACTTCTCGGAGTGTTTAAACAGTTTCCATAGCATTTGTCTATTGATGCCACATATCGCCAATGTCCGCCGGGGTCCGATACTGGACATTTAACCTTGACGTTCGTTCGGTCAAAGAGTTTAAAAGGCGAAAATAAAACACCATTGTTCATTTATACATAATGTACAGCAAATGAATAATTTACCTCAAATATTCTTAAGATTCTCGACAGACTTGAAATACCATCTTTTATGCTAATAATCAATAGCACGGCATGAGGAGGTTCTGTCTCAATTGGAGATATACATTCACCATTCTGTACAAAGACTTCCTCTTCTTCTTCACTGATAGAATTTCTATTACTTAATGTCCTTTCTCGTTTTTCAAATTCTAAATTTGTCACAGTTTCGAATTTTGCATCTTCAATAAGACTCTTCCGTCGCCATGATCCCCCGTGCTAGAAAAGAAACAAATTATAAATTCTCCATAGTTTCGATTTCTACCTTGACATCCGTCGCCAATATATATCTCGTGCTGGAATAGAACCAAATTGTAATTTGATCATTATGTTTCCAAATATTGAATTAAATACAAGTATTAGAGTTTTATGAACTATGTAAATAGTCTAGAGAGAATTTGGTTTCCTTTTATTTATTGTCTAAAGGGTAAATGTCTGACGGTAGTCTTGTACCTTTTTAGTGTATAGATTGTCAATTGACTTACTCATTGAATACATCTTACTTTTTAGAATGAGATTAATATTTTTAAGAGGATGAGGACAGGGGTTTACAGAATAGAGAAAAATGGCCTATCCAGACCTCATTACAACATTAACATCAAATAATGATGTTTTAAGTTTTAAAAGATTAAATTGCATTTTTTTTATTTATTTATTTATTCACATTTTCAATTCAAATAAACTTAATTTTATCAAAGTTAAAAGCCAAATAAAACCAATTGATTGATGTGATTCAACATATATTCTATGTAATTTTAAACCAGACATCAAAGAATACTAGTATACCGACGATTAAAGTAATTATTCCTTGAACGTTTAATGGTTTGTGAAATAGAAAACATTTTAACATAGAATCATTAGTGCAGTAGCAAGCTGCACTTTATTTTTCTTCTTTCAAAACAAGTCAAAATATTCAGAATTGAAACTGTGAGAGTTTTTAAGATTTAATAGAAGCTTTGAAAACACAGTGGTACTTCTAAGCATTTTTATGTTTAATTTTAAACTTGCGTGTTATTGCTGATCCGCGAAATGATCAAATAGCAGTTTAATATTGCACGAAGCCAGGCTTTCATTCAAAGCTTCATTGGTTTCCATTCATTTGTCGGTGAATGTAGAATTAATTTAAAATAGCGATAAAATAGAAATGAATTCCACTTACATACTGTTATGAGTTACAGGTAAAAGAGCAATATATGTTTAATTTTACTGTAAAAGGCAATATTTTAATCATTATCCTCGGTCAGGTAATAATATCCCCATTAGTAGAATTTTCTTTTGTCCCCAGTTTGCGGATGGAGAACTTCGTAACAACTAAAGCCACTCTCAGTAGCTATATGCATCTTGATAAACTTTGATAAAAAGTTCGCAAATATCAAAGTAAGATGGGTCCTTTATTGCTAATGTTTTCTGTCCTTAGACGCAACATGAGATTGCTATTAGAACTGAATAGTAAACGGAAGTGCGAGCATATAACCTTTTTAAAATAGGGAGCGCTTATTATTGATTAAATCTATTAAAAAGAAAAGAAGTATATATCTGAATCAGCCATTACCACTTTGAGAACTGTTGCTGTTTAATATAATGTTGCTATTCAGTATAAGCAATGAGCCTAACATAAAAGGATGAACTATGTAAATATACACACTCACTATATGAAAACCTAGACTGGTTACTGTTTTTCTATCAAGGTAATTTTATTCAGAAATGAAAACTCCTGATAATAAGTTCATGTATATTAATGTTCGAATATTATTACATATCACATCAGGATCGACCACATTTATTTATGATTTACTGTTTAGAAATTCAACAGTTATTTGTTGATGGGAAAATGAGAAAATTATACGATATTCGTGTGAGCTATTGAAAACTTTTATGTCAATATAGGAAACAGGTAAACATACATCAATTAACAATAATGGCATTTTGATAGTAAAAAAAAGAAAAACATTGAAAAACTTTATTCAACACCAAGCTTACTTATATTTGCTCGAAAAAAATAGAGTAGTAAGAGTAAGGTCTTGTCGACTGAGTGACATAATTGCATCTTAAAAATCTGCATGACTCGGCGTGTTGTATTGGTACAAAACAAGGATCATTTTCGTATTATTTTGTTTTTTATTTCGCAAATAAGTTATATAGATACAATGGATAAGCGTGGATTCTTGAAAAAGAAACCATGAGCCCGGAGGGCGAATGGTTTGTTTTTCATGAATTAACGCTTATCCATTGTATCTATAACTTAAACTATGGTGTTAATTTCTTTTCAAAATTAAAGCCTTTTCTTAATTATAAGGTATTGTAAGTGAGTTTAAATAACCATGTTATCGTGTCCAACGATGCATTGATAAATCTCAGATCACAATTAATTGGTTAACAAAATACAAATATAACACCTATACCTTTAAAGATCGTTATATTACCAGGCATATGAATGTTATCTGTTTATACAAAATAAGACATATTCGAAATTATTTCATGAAAATGGAAATGGGGAACGTGTCAAAGAGACAACAACCCGACCAAAAAGATTATATAAAGTATATATAATAAGTATGTTATCGAAATTTTTCTAGCACTCTAGGCACATCACGATTTTCTCGCATAGGAATTTGCGAACAAACCTTTGTAAAATTATGTAGTAAAACAGATGAAATCATACTATATTTATAAAACAAAAATTGACAAATAGAATATAATCATTTTTGTTTCAAACATGTGAAATAGCCAATAATAATAAAAAAAAACCCGGTAAAACTCGCTATTATTACAAAAATATCCACTATAACATGCAAAATTAGAAAAAAACCAGGATAACTTAAGAATTGGAACAACAGAGAGAATACAGAGATTCGAACCTAAACCGACAAATCCCTATCTTTAACTCATTGATTTTAACCATGCTAACCTCGCGGCTACCAACTCATACTATACGACTGCCTATTGTGTCCATATAAAGATACAAGCCCTGTGTGTCCGATGAACCGATGTATATCAGATGTTCATTTAAATATATAAAATAGACATCTATAGTGTAACCCATTGGTAGCCGAGAGGTTTCGTCGATCTGTTGATGTTAGTCACACATAACAGATTTCAAGGAAGGGTTCGATCCCCCAGTGAAGGCATATAAAAATTACAAAAATTAAAGGTAAGTTTTTAAATTAATTCCATTAGTGAACAGAAATCAGTAAATTAGCCAATTCAAACTTAATGAAATTAGGCACACAAAGGAAACCATTGAATATAATTTGGTGAGTCAATTACAGCGGCAGATTTAGGAAGCGTTGATTCTAGAAAAAGAATCCACGGTAAATGAATAGGCTGACGTCACCACAATTGTTTAAATGAATATTTAGCACATACTTACAACTTCTCGTCCAATCAAATTGCTTATATTTGCCTTCTAATTTTCATAGTACATACTTTTCCCGTGTACTAAGTAACTACACATGAATGACCACAAGGGTAAGATTTCATTGTATCATAATGAAGATATTTAAATCAAAAATTGCCGCTGGCTGTTTTGAAATAAAATGCTGTGTTCCAAATTAAATTAAATAGTTTGTAATTAGTTTTCACGTTGATTTTTAAATATCCTGCTATTAAAATCTTTGGATCTAAAAAATGTTTTTGATAATTGCTATTTCTTTCATTTAAATAAAGGGTAATACATATGGTTCTTTATACCTTGATTAGAGTACAACGATATCTTAAAATTATGATAATGTAATAATGTATCATCCATGCAATTACTTTGTACACAAAAAAGTGTGTACTATGAAACCTTGTGAAGGGAAATTAAAGCAACTTGGTGATAATTTTTTAAACTTTCTTAAGGTAGGTGATCTATTTCGTCATGAATTGATTAATTTATTGATTATCGGTTGCTTAATTTCCAGTGGCAAATATTTCATGCATGTTCAGGACGATGTCATGAATTGAAAAATTGTGATTATGTCTGAAGATAATGTGCCAATTATATATATAAACATATTCTGATAAATCTTTTAGTTTTTACTTTGAAATAATAAAAAAAAAAAAAAAACACACAAAACCTATAATCTCTGATCTATTGATAGTTGCTTTTTAATGCCTATCTGCTAGACTATATCTATGGGGACAAACTATCTATATGTTTCAAATTTATTATAGCTTTAGTTTTTAGTGAAATTAAAAAATGTTTTCAAAACATGTAAAGCTTCCACTGCAATTTAATTATTGCCTGCTTTTGGTCAATTTATTTGGTCATCTTACCATGTAAGAAGAACATGTATAGTGAAACACCACTTTATATCAATATACATACTTACACCAGCAGCTACCATCTTTTCATTCTGGAGTCAAGGGCCTTTTGAAATCACATATTTTACAATGATACTAGTGAGTAGATTTACAAAACTTTGTTAATGAGCTCCGTTTTACAAACACCTGTGATACAAGTAGTCAGCCAAAATAAACTATCAATAGACCAATTAAAAGATTACTCGAGTTGTAAATATGTGCTAAATTGGATAGTCTATGAAAAGGTATATACTATGAAATTAAGAGCTCGGGGCAAGCCCCTCGCTCTAAATTTCATAGTATATACCTTTTTATAGACTAACCTAGACATAATATTAAGTTATATGTATGAAAAAGATACATTTTGAATTAGTCTTGCGTCGGTACGAATTGGCATCATTTCATCAGGGGAAGTACTATAATTGAGGGACCTTTATCGGGACGTCGGGATTGGGCCTTTATTTTTGCGGGAATTTGGGATTAACACTCATCGGGACTCGAGAAGTGATGATTAATTTTGCAGGATCAGGAAAAAATGGTTTATTTTCACGGGAATTCGGGATGACACCCCTCCTACCGCCTCTCATAATTGAAAAAAAAATAATAAATGTCTTTTTAATATAAAATTTCGCTACCAATGTCTTGTTATAATTAAGACACATAGAAACCATTGATAGTGGCTAAACCAGGGTAAGTCGTTTTAAAGTATACTACTTTGTCCAGGACTGGACACACCATATTTGATGGTCAGAATTGCCAAAAAAAGGAAAATTAATTTAAAAAAAAAAGAGAGAATTTTCATCGTTTACAAAAAAACCTCAAGCAATTTTGTCAACTTGACCAATTGATAGTACATGTAAACTTCAAAGGTAAATGACATGGATGTGTTTATCATAAATAAGTTTTTTTGTTTATCACCATAAAATTAATTTGCA